GGGGTTTAAGATTGCTGCGCAGTTTTAAAATCACACTGTAATAATAGCATTTTCCCAAAACGCTGGAGCTGTCATGACTTCTGGGTGCGCACCAGGTCTGTCACGAAGATCGAGAGGGAGCTCGGGGGTGCAGTGTGTGTGTAGGCCTAGGCTTCAGAAAGCTTGCCTTTGTTCTGCGAAATGGCTTGGGCTATCACTAGAGGTGGGCAATATCCGGATAATCTATAAGGATAACCGGATAATTCTCAATGAAGCATTATCCGAATACAGCGGTTCATATCATATTATTTGCCGAAGAGGGGCACTAACATATCCAGATTTTGCTAAAGCGACTCATTGCCCAGCTCTAGCTTTCACAGGATACACACCAAGCAGACATTGTAGTGGCACGCTTGCAGATACGTAGATTATTCTAGGCTCAACCCCCCCCCCCCCCCCCCTGGGCGGTGCTACAGACTGAAGTGTCTTTAGGCCATTCCCAAAGGGGGGACATTACCATGTTCTGTTGCACAGTAAATTGTAAATGGGCTGATTCGTCGAAGTCATGCTCATAAATGTGCCGGAATTGCAACAGGGAACTGATGCTTTTTCTTTCCTCACCCTTACTATCGTCAATTTGCCTCTACTTCTTTTGAATGATTGTCCCTCTCTTGTGACCCGCTATTTCCGGGGTGCCTTGATAGTCGAAGCAGACTTTGTCCTGTTAAAGCTAGAGAGGTGAGCAGACTAAGCCCGATTCCCTGTAAGGACTTCTCTGTTGACATCCACCCCTTAGCGCTCATATGACCTTATGCAGTTGAGAGCGCCGTAAAACCTCAACTAAAACAAACAAAGGCTCAATTTTGGAGAGACTCTGCTTGCGTTGAGAACCTTTATTGGTCCAGTTACGAACGTCACTTCATTTTGTCTGGACGCACAAACTATAAAAACTGTAGGGCACTAATCATTGAGGCAGCACCGTCCCCCGAATTACATTATTGAAAAGAAGCCACCTCATGTCGAGAAGTGCGCACACAATAGACAATACAATAGTGAGGTCAAAATTTCGTAGCGCAATATCTCTACTCAAGTATCGAACTTAAAAGTTCTCCAATTTTTGCACATTGACTTGTATCAATTTGTCTTAACAGATCAACATTTTTGTAAACACCTACTAGCTGTATTCTTGAAAATCCCCCACTAATTACAACAAAAAAATTCAAGCGGGTGGTTCCTACAGAGTTTTAAAGGCAAGTCCGTCATTTTTTTTTATCGCGACATTATGCTTTTTGAATGCATGTTTTGAGAACCTTCAGAGCAACAAATGTGTTCCTATAAAATTAATTTCTTGTAACAAGTTTTGCCACTAAAAAGTGTTATTGGTGAGCTGTGACGAAGGTCATATGTGTATGCAAAATGTGTGTGAGAAGTGAGAAGTGCTGTGAACGAACCAATGTATGGGGTGACGGAGATAATTTATAGTATTTTATGTACATTTATACTGAAATTGTTGAGGAAAACAAATATGATTATATTAAGACAAATTGATATAAACTGCTGGGCAAAGTCTGAGGAACACTGATTCACCCGGTAAAGAGAATGATATTAGAGGATAAGTTGCGCCACGGGGTTTTGACCGCACTATGAGGCCTAATGTTGGATAGTGGAGAACTCCGTACCACTTGTAGTCTAAGACATGTTATGAAATTTACAAAGATGCCTTCAAACAATGTTCAAAATAATCACATTTGCCCTCCGTATTAGATAATATACTTTTCTTTATCAAAATCAAAGTTTTTGAAGTATGTATTGTCGCTTGTATGTGCCCTATGTATACCAAAAGTCTAGACAAAGTTTTCATCTGTATAAGTATGTGTCGTTAGTGAAGTAAAAGCAAGAGGGTCACATCGCGCAAGGAAAGAAAGGAGCAGAAAATGTACATTGGTCTACATCATTCTATAGAAACATAATTAATGTACACCTGTGCTCTCAGTATACCTTATAAGCTGTACACAGTTTTGAAAAAAAAATACCTTTGAAATCATAACCACTCATCACTTTTTGCCTTTGAATGATGAATCCCTCCCC